GGAAGAAGAGGCCTAGAGAATCTGGTCAGTTTCAGGGACTTCCTGAATTACTTATTTCCTGTCTTAGTGGTTTTCCACACAGGATGGAGTGTTTTACTCACTACACCCTAAAACATCCTGTCTTTTCACTTCCTGGTAAACATCATAGTCTAGAATACCCTGTTGTCTGTCTTTCCCTTTTCATCCTATGTCTTAAGAACTTGCCCTCCAAGCTGGAAGGCAAACTTGGAGGGAGCTGTTGCACAGCACCCATGTTCCACTTTATGTGGGTAATGGAGAATCAAACTCAGGTCTTTGGACTTGCACAGTAAGTGCTTTACCAGTTGAGCTACCTGCCCAGCCCTGACTTCTGTCTTTGATACTGACACATGGATTTCAGTTTTCCATGGATTGTCTTTTACACTCTGTGTTTTGTATATCGTGGTCAGACTGTGACGTGTGTAGGTCTGTGTTTGTTCTAATCTGAAGTTATTTCCTCATTTCTGGAAAAGTCTCAGCATTACCTTTTTGAAACACTTTTTCTCTGCTGTATTTTTCTGGGGTTCCTTACTGGAGCCCTAGTAAGAAAGTAGGAATTTCTCTAGCTGCCCTCATTTATCTTTTGTCCTTTGTTTTGTTTTTGTTTAGGGTTTCTCCTTCCCCATGTGTCCAGGTACTCTTCGAACTTACAGTTTGTTTATTTTAAAAATGCTTTTATTTTTTTAATTAAAAAATTGTGTGTCTATGGTGGGCATGTGCCGTGAGTCTGTAGCGTTCAGAGGAGGGTATTGGATCGTGATAGTGAGCCATTCTATATGAGTGCTGAGAACTGAACTAGGTCCTCTGCAAGAGCAGCTGGTGTTTGTAACTGCTGAACTATCTCTCCAATCATCATAGTTTTCATTTTATTTATTTATTTATTGTGTATACAGTCTTCTGCCTGCATGCCAGCAGAGGGCACCAGATTTCATTCAAGGTGGTTGTGAGCCACCATGTGGTTGCCGGGAATTGAACTCAGGACCTCTGGAAGAACAGTCAGTGCTCTTAACCGCTGAGCCACTCTCCAGCCCCCATAGTTTTCATTTTTATAAGTTTTGTTAAAAGACTTTTGCATGTACAGTGTATGTGTGTGTTCATGTGTGTGTACAGGTCAAAAGTTGCTGTGGGTGTCTTCCTCAATTGTTATTTATGGTCATGTTTTATTTTCATGTGGTGTCTTCCTCAATTGTTATTTATGATCATGTTTTATTTTTATGTGGGTGCTTGGCACTGAGCTCAGACCCTCATACATACATAACAAGCACTGTACAGACTGAGACATCTCTCTAATCCAGCTTCTATTTTTTTTTTTTTTGGTTTTGCTTGGTGGTTCATAACAGTAGCCCTAGCTTCTTGGTCGTGTTTTAGTTTCTTTTACTTTTTACTGTTGGGCATATGATGCACACCTTTAATCCCAGCACTCAAGAGGCAGGAGAAGCCTGATCTCTGTGAATTCGAGGTCAGCCTGATCTGAGTTTCTAGTTCCAAGCCACCCAGGACTACACAGATAGACCCTGTTTTAAAAAACAGAATAAAAAACAAACAAAAAAAACCCAACAATAACACCAGTTTTTTAAATCATTTTTTATTTTAATTTTAAATAGCTTGTTTTACATGTCAATCCCAGTTCCCTCTCCCTCCCCTCCTCCGGCACTTCCCTTCTCCCCCCCCCCCACCCTATTGCCAAATCCTTCCACATAGGGGATATCTAGAGGCTGTCATTTCACTCTGGGTAGGGTCCAGGCACTCCCCTAAGAGTCCAGGCTGAGAGAGCAGCCCTCTTTGTGCTATAGGCACACGATGACTGTTTGTATTCCAGGGATAGACACTGATCCACAGCTCAGGGCCCCATAGTTGCCCAGGCCTTCTCGCTGACACTCACATTTGGGGGGTCCAGATCTGTCCCATGCTGGCCTCCCCACTGTCGCTCTGGGGTCCAAGAGTTCTCCCCTGTTCAGATCAGCTGTCTCTGCTGGTTTTGCCAGCCCATTCTTTGCCAATTTGCTCATCACTCATCTCTCTCTCTGTCACTGGGTTCCTTGGGTTCAGTTCAGTGATTAATTGTGTGTTTGCCTCTGCTTCCATCAGTCACAGGATGAAGGCTCCCGGATGGTTATAGACATCAAGTTCATTATCAGGAATGGGCATTCAAGGTGGTCTCTCCACTATTGCTTAGCTTGCCAATTGGTGTTATCCCTTTAGATCACTCGAGGTCACTCTGGTGCCTGATCTGTCTTCTATCCTATGATTCCCTCTTCCCCCTATTCTACCCCCACCCACTCAACTTCCTGTTCCCCCATGACCAACTCTCTTCCTCTTCACCCCCTCTCTTCTTCCCAGCTCCCACTCCCCCCAATCCCTCTCCATGTTCCCCATCCATTCAGAGGATCTTGTCTCAATCCTTTTCTCTTGGGTACTATGCATATATGCATATCTTTTAGGTTCTTTCCTGTTTCCCAGACTCTCTATCAGTGGAAGTGCAGACTAGCACTATCCTGATCCATGTCTAACATCCATATATGAGTGAGTACATACCATGTTTGTCTTTTTGCGACTGGGTTACCTCACTCAGTATGGTTTCTTCCAGTGCTATCCATTTACCTGCGAATTTCAAGATTCCATTGTTTTTTTCTGCTGAGTAGTACTCCATTGTGTAAATGTACCACATTTTCTCTATCCACTCTTCAGTTGAGGGGCATTTAGGTTGCTTCCAGGTTCTGGCTATTACAAATAATGCTGCTATGAACATAGTGGAGCAGATGCCCTTGTTGTATGAATTTGCCTCATTTGGATATATGCCTAAGAGTGGAATTGCTGGGTCTAGTAACACCAGTTTTTTACTTATCTGTTTTCTATTCTGCAGTTGATACTTCTCTTGCTTGAAACTCTTTGGTTCTGGCTCTGTCACTGTCCTTATGCTGGTTATTATCTGTGCAGTCTTGATGTTGTCATACACTTTACAGTGCTCTCTGATATGAACCCACATTTGTTAGGACTGTGTCTGTGATCCATGGAAGGCCAGGTAGATTTTTAGTGTTCAGAAAGACTGGGGAATCTCCCATTCTGGGCCTACTATATATTTTTTTAAGTTATTGGTTTGCGAGTGTTTCAGGCTTGCTGACAGCATGAGTTCATGCCATGTTGGGGGAAGTCCTGTGCATTTGTCAATAAAGTACTGTTGAGCCAATAGGAAACCTAGATAGGAGGGACTAGGAGTCCAGGAGGACTCTGGGAAGGAGAAACACAAGAGAGTCGACATGTGACGCCATGGGGTAGGAAGCCCGGAACTATTCTCCGGTAAGAGACATACTTAGATTAACAATTATGGGGTAATTACTTAAGTCAGAGCTAGCCAGTAAGAAACAAGCAAGGCCAACAGCTTCATAATTAATATAGCCTCCTGTGTGTTTATTTGGGACTGATGCGGCTCTGGAACCAGGCTGGCAGGAAGGCTTCTCTCAAAAGAAAAAGGCTTCTCTTAACAATGCCAGGCTTGAAAGTTTGTTCTTTTCTGGTTCTCAGTAGGTTCTGTGACTGCATCTGTGTCTGCCTGGGGCTTTTCTTTCTGCCTCTCCACATGAAGGCCCTGTAATGGAAGCTCCCAGCTTCTGGAACCTGCCATGGTCTATACTCACCTCCCACATTGGACTTGCTCAAAGAGATGTTCCTTTCATTTCTTGCAAGCTCATTGGCAATTTTAAAGTGAAGTCTTGTCATTAAAATTTTGGGCAAAAGGAAATAGAAGAGGCATTGCAGCTTTTGAGTTCAAATGGATGTGTGTGCTTGTGTCAAAATGTTGTACATACAATTTGTCTAGCCTTTACCCCCATGCTGGGATGAGACCCAAGGCTCTGCCACTGAATTATACCCCTAGATGTCTAGCCTTTCTTCTTTGTGTGTGTATATAAAATGTATCTGTGTGAAATACAGGCATGTGCATGTCACACATGTATGTAAATGTGAGCATGTATGTGCCATGGTACACATATGGAGGTCATGGGATAATTTGAGTTGCTAATAGTGTTCTCCTATGAAACCTCTTGGACTGGTCCTCTATAGTCCTTGTTGCAGTCAGCACTGTCTTCCAAGCTCCTACTAGGATGGCCCATTAAGGAATGTTTTACGGCATTCAATCATTTTTCTAGCCCAAAGTTTCCAAGCCTTCCCATCCTCCAAACCCAGATGGTCAAATCTGTCACTGCAAATCGTCTACTTCCTGGTAAACTTCTGTCTTAGTTACTTTTCTGTTGCTGTGATAAAACACCATGCACAAGGCAACTTATAAAAGGAATTTGGGTCTTACAGTCCAGGAAGGATAAGAGTCCATTACCTTGAAGGTGGGCAGCATGGCAGCAGGCAGGCATGACAAAAGAGCCCCAGCTGAGAGTTCACATCTCATCCCGAAAACAGGAAGTAGAGACCACACTGGCAATGGCACAAGTCTTTTGAAACCTCAGGGCCTGCTCCCAATTATACATTTCCTCCAACAAGGCCATCCCTCCTAATTCTTCCCAGGTAGTTCTATCAATTAGGGACCAGGTATTCAAACATATGAACCTATGAACTATTCCACTTAGACTACCATGCATTCTTTGGATAAGAGAATGATTATATTTTAGATAGCTTCATTGAATGTCAAGAACACCGAACACTTATAAACTGAGAGTTGTCTGAATATAAATACGGCTTGGTACTGCAAGGGGTAAGACATTGGTAAACAGGGTTATGAGGTTCCTCATGAGACTGCCTGTGGTTCTTTACACAGAAGGTTGTGCCACAATGTTATTGCTAAAACTTCCCATTATGTTATGGCCTTCTGCAGCTGAAAACCATTAAATATGTCTTCCACTTTGTAATTATTCTACCCAAATGTTATAGTTGGACATCTGAGATATAAATATGTTTAGAGTAGCAAATGAATTCAAGGTGAAGTACAATATGAATAGCCCAGCATGTCAACACTGTATTCTTTTGCATTTCAGTCTAATGCTAATGTCCCTGTACAACGTGAGCATCAATTCAAAAGGCTTGAAGTACATCAGTGAGAGCCCTGGATTTATCCCTTTGCTGTGGTGGCTTTTGAGTGGTAAGGAGTGTTCTGCTATGTTCTCGTCTAGTCATAGGCTCTCCCTCCACAGCAGGCAGAGGGTTTGGTGTATTGGAAATCAGGAGCCATTATCTTTCAGTGTTTAACAATGACTTTTCTCTTTTGTTGGAGTAGCTTCTTTCATGGTGGCAGCTTTCAAATCTTGCTGTCCTCGAACACTGGGTTCTCAAAGCTGTCCCTGCTCCTCCACCAAATGGCTTCCTACTCTAGAAAGCCAGCTGGTATGTTAGCATTTCTGGTTATGTTTCTCAACTATTGATTTTTGTTTTAGTTGTGACCTTTGACACAAAGATCATTTCATGAAACAGCACCAAAGTGCTCCTTCTCTGAAAACAGAATGGTAGCTGTGTGGTGGGCATGAAAGGAAAGTCTGCAAGTCTGGGCAAAATGAAGTAGGAGACACCTGAAGTTCATGAGGGTGTAATGGCAGCGTTGTAAATAGCTCTTTCTTTTTACCTTCACCACGAGGTTCATTTCCTAATTGTACAGTGACAGAGATAGAATTTGTTTTTGAACTTTAGTTACTCTTTTTTTCTAACAGTTTTATTGAGATAAAATTGTTGCGTATATCTTAAATGGAAAATTGATCATTTGAGTATAGATCTCTACCTATAAAATCATTACTGTGGTCAAGTAAGTAAAACGTCGTCCCACAAGGCACTTTCCCCTCCCTCCCACCTGCCTCTCACTTCCCAGAGAGCCACTCACCCCTTTTCTACACTGTAGTTCAGTTTCCGTTTTCTATAGTGATCACTGTGTCTTAATAGTTCGCTGCTTCCTGTCACACACTGTTCAGTTATGCAGATGAACCTTTTGGGTTGTTTATTCAGCTTTGACAATTACAGACACAGATGCTGGAGTCTTCCTTGTGCATGGAGACATGCTGGCATTTCTCCTGGGTAGATCCTAGGCTCAGAATGGCTGGGTCAGATGGAAGAGGCATACTTACATTTTTAAACTGCCAACTGCTCTGTCATTCACATCCCCACCAGAGGATACAGTATCAGCTGTTTGTCCTCACAGTTCTTGGCCTGCTTGTACCATTAGGTTTGGATATCCCAGTAGGGATGTCTTGGTATCACATTGTTTCATGATTACTAATAGTGTTTGAATGAACAAAAGAAATAAAAAAGGAGGACATGACTGCTCCTAGGTATGGTAGGGGTGAAGGTTTATTGTAGATATGGGGGAGAGCATTGCCAGAGGCAGAGACATCAGAGAGAGCACAAAATGAATATGACCCTGAGCTGGGTCATGTGGGGAGAAGCAGAATGGGAGAGCCAGGAGACTAAGGGGCCAAAGGCCAAAAGGGTGGTGATGGTGGTGGTGGTGGAGGAAGAAGAGGAGGAGGAGGAGGAGGAGGAGGAGGAGGAGGAGGAGGAAAAAATTAAGAATAAAAGAAAGAAGACTGGTGTAGTGAGAGTCCACCCAGCTGTACCTGTGGTGCTGACCACGCCTGTTTGGGCGTGGTCACAGGTGTGTATGTGAGCGTGGTCACAGGTGTGTATGTGAGCATGTGGTATTTGGTCTCTGGGGTTTGAGACAGGCTTGCTCTCTCTTGGTTCCAGTCGGGTCACAGAGAGCAGCCTGGGTGTGGATTCTTTGAGCAGGAACTTGCGGGTCATCGGTTTCTTATGTAAGTGACTTCTCCCCGAATAAACTTAACCTATATTTAACCAAGTCCTGTGTATCTTAATCTGTGCATCCACAAACTGGCATAGCCAAAATGCCTGGTTTATGTAGGGAAGAGCAGCTAGGGGAAGGGCAGCCCATCCCAGTCCTTGGACTGGAGAAGATTAGAGTAAGGTGCAGAGCATAGCAGCCAGAACCCTGTAGCAGGTAGGGACGGAGGGATGCTGGGAAAACCTGGTAGCCAGGGACCGCTTTGATAGGTTAGACACACCTCAGCCATTTGTCCCAGGTTTGAGACCTAACAATGTTGAACATCTTTTCATGTTTTTGAATCAATCTTGATGGTGTTACCATCTTAAGCATAAATCCTCAGGGGCTAGAGAGATTGCTCAGTGTTTAAGAGCACTGGTTGCTCTTCCAGAGAACCTAGATTCAATTTCCAGCACCCACACGGCAGCTCAGTTTCTGGGGATCCATTTCCTGGGGATCCAACATCCTTACACAGTCATGCAGGCAAGCAAAGTACCCATGCATATTAATACCATTAAAATTTTAAAAATGAGTTGGGTGGTGGTGGTGCATGCCTTTAATTCCAGCAGTCAGGAGGCAGATGCAGGTAGATCTCGAGTTTGAGGCCAGTCTGGTCTACAGAGTGAGTTCCAGGATAACTAAGGCTATACAGAGAAAAACCTGTCCCGAAAAACCAATACATAAATAAGTAAATAAATGCATTTTAAAAAGAAGCATAAATACTCTATGTTCTTTTTTTTCCAAGTTGTTTCAACTGTTTCTAAGGCCTTTGCCATGAATTTGAGAATAAATATGTCACTTCATATATAAAAGAAATCCTTTTAGAAATTTTATTGGGAGTCTGTTGAATGAGTAGTTTATTTAAGGGAGAATTGACATATTAGCAATATTGAGTCTTCTAGGCCAGCATCCCAGATGTATAGGGAATTCTTCTGTGTCTGTATGTCCTAAAGACAGAGTGAACTGATCTCCTTGGCTTTTGGCTATCATTTGAGGATGTGTGTAGAGTGGCCATCCTTGCAGTGAGTGTAGAAGTATTCTCTCCCTCCAAAGCAGAATGCGTTTGGCACCTTTGTAATGAAGATGTTTAACTCCAGGGCATAGGCCAGACACACTACTATCCATGTGAAGAGATGTGGCTTCTCTGAACCTGGGGTTGGGGTCCCTGTGTTGAGACACAGTCTGTGTCCTGCACAGAGTCTGTGGCATTGGATCTTAAACCAGCACAGACATGGATATGCTGGCTATAGGTATGACTAAGAAGTTCTGTCTCAGACAGCAGTGTATCTTCTCTCAGCATCCTTCAAGATGTAGCATACAGCTTGTTAATCTACAAGTAGAGTGAATGCTAGACTTCTACAGCTTAAGAGCTGGTTAAGTGGGCTTTAGATCCACACGCCCCCAGGCTTGTATACTCAACAGCTTTTATTCTCTTGAGAATGCATCATGGAATCAGGTGATTCCTGGACTTAGTGTCCGTGTGCAGGTCCACAGTACTAGCCTAAAGGACTAGGGGAGAAGATAATGGGAGAGGAAGTCCCAACTGAGCAACAGCTGCTGCTGCTCTACATGGACCACATACGTACTTTGATTTATTGTTGTCAGTCTCCTGCTTCTCAGATGAGGAGACCAAGTGGCTTGCTGGAGGTTAGCAGCTGTGTGATAGTGGAGCTGGGTTTGAATCCCGACTGCTTGCTGCATGTCCCTGTCCCTTAGGCTAGCTGCTCTGCAAGCATGGGTCAGGGCCATAAACCTCCATGTCCTTCTTTGGCAGCCATTTGGACTGACTGCTTGGTTCTGCAGTTTTTACTCTCAAACAGTATGCCTGGTTCTGTTTGATCCAGCTTGCACCACTGACCCTCCAGCAGCCTTGTGAGTTGTTTGCTTGTTTATGAAGAAAGAGCTGAGGCTAAGTGTTCTCTGATGCCCTAGCTGTGCTAGTCTGGAGGTGTTTGTGGGGTGAGTGAGAATCTCAGTTTATGCTTCTCTCTTGGGTGTTCTCTGATGTCCGTAGACTTCCTGCCTTGACTGGGTCACAACACAATGGGGTGTTTCCTAAGGTATCTTAATGTACCACTTTGCTTCTGGGGCTGTTTGACTTTCCAGGATTTCTTGTTCTTGGAGACAGTTCCTGGTTCTTTGAACATAGCAAGCACACCCAAACCCTGAGATCTGTTGCAAGCTCTTGATGACTTTATTAGACTCATTCCTTGTAAAGTCAAACAAAACATGCTGGACTCAAGTCCCAGATGCTTAACCACTGAGTTATGTATGCTCTATTTTGTGTTGTTATTTTAAATGTTTTAGAATTAATGTGTGCTTTAAGTTTGTTTTTGTTGCTGCCAGTACTGCAACCTGGGGCTATGGACGTGCTCAGCAAGTCTGCTCTGGGCTGCTTCTTCAGCCCTGCCCTAGGTTTAGAAAGCTGAGAATGTGTTTTATCATGAAGTAGGGAAACAGGAGCACACTGGCTGCCTGGAAAACTTCTGCTTGTTCTTGGCAATAGTACTGTTGCTCTCAGGACCTGACCTTGTGACCCCGAGCCAGGAGAGAAGTTGAAGGCTCTTTTGCCATCAGGTAGACCCAATTTGTGAAAATGTGCTCTACTTTGCTTACAATCTAATAACTTTCGAAAGGTCTGAAGCAAAGAGCTTGCTAACGCTCAGAAATCAGTTTCGGCCTTATCATACAATTCCATTACGAAGCTTGATGTGTTTAAAGAGAACCCGCTTTAGACTCACTACACAGAGGTGTGAACTGAGGCTTTCATACAGTAAACTGGTCTAATCTGTGAGAGCTTCACTTCTCTGATCTGGACAGTGGGGTCCACCTCAGTGTCTCACCCCCAGTACAGCAGGCGTCGGCTCTCCTTTTATTTCTCTAAGTGTCCTGTGGAAACTTGTTTCCCTTTGCTTTGCTTGCCTGAAGCAAGTCACTTCTGAGTTCTCAGACCCCCTGCTTCAGAGGACAGGCCCGGTCGCTGCTGTGCTTCTATCTCTGGGAGGCTCATCTCATTCCCTCTAACCTTTGCCAGATTTCATTTTCTTTCACTTGTTCATCTACGTGGCTGCCTTTTTCCCAGGCTGGGCCCAAATTCTTCACATTCCTCTTAAACCACAGAATTGGCACAGAACTCTAGCAAATAGCTGATGAGGACAATGTGTATTTGGGTGGTGACCACATGTTATATAACTGCTAATGCAGGCTAGTGTTAGAATCCCACTCGCTGCCGTGCTGCTGATTCCCTGACCAAGGATACAGTGCTGGACACATGGCATTCACACCCCATCTCATACCTACTTCCTTCCCTGAGTGAT